CCGCTATGCCACAGTGCCGGCCCCAAGGCCCATGTGTTCTTAAACTGAAGTTTTCAAGAATAAATGCATAGATTTTGATCAGATTAGTGTCTGAAAAACACTAAATGCCTATTTGTATATATATTTAAATCTGAGTAAAATTTTATGATTTATAAGAATTCTGAGAGGGACTTTGGAAGAACAATTTCTTAGCTTTCCAAAGTGGAGAATAGGGCATTACTCTTTTAAAGAGAGTGAGTATTGGAATTCTCATGTTTTCATTCTTAAAATTAATTGCACTAGTAGTTCTATTTTTTTAAAAGATTTATTTATTTGAAAGAGTTACAGAGAGAGGTAGAGAGAGAGAGAGAGAGAGGTCTTTAATCTGCTTGTTCACTCCCCGGATGACCACAACGGCCAGAGCTGCGCTGATCCAAAGCCAGGAGCCAGGAGCTTCTTCCAGGTCTCCCACATGGGTGCAGGGGCCCAAGGACTTGGGCCATCTTCTGCTTTCCCAGGCCATAGCAGAGATCTGGATTAGAAGAGGAGCAGCCGGGACTAGAAGGACTAGAACTGGCACCCATATGGGATGCCGGCAGTTCAGGCCAGGGCTTTAACCCGCTGTGCCACAGTGCCAGCCCAAAGTAGTTCCTTTTTTAAAAAAGATTTATTTATTTTATTTGAAAGAATGATGAGAAACTGACAGATCTTCTATCTGCTGGTTTACTCCCCAAATGGCCACAGCGGCCAGGTCAGGGCCAGGCCAAAACCAGGAATTCCATCCTGATCTTGAACACGGCTGGTATTGGGCCCAGGCACTCACACCATCATGTGCTGCCCTCCCAGGCACATGAGCAGGAAGCTGGAATGCAATTGCAGTAGCCAGGATACGAGCCAGCACTCTGATTTGGGATGCTGGCCTTGCAAGCCGTGTCTGGACCTGCTGCACTGTAACATTGACTCCGATGGATCATTTTGTTTCACTAGCACTTACTTTGTTTTTGTTTGAATTTATCTTCAGAGGTGGAGGGAGGGTGGGTAGGAGAGTAGGTTAGATACTGTGTTTGCTGTTATTTCACCAAGATGTTTAAGGATTTCAAAACTCTTTTTCCTGCCCTTAAGGGGGTTTAAGGATTGTGAGTCTGTTGTCTCTTCCTAGAGCCTCTTTGTTTTCCTTTAAGCAGTTTCTGTCTTTGCTTCCCTCTGTCCTTTCTCTTTCAACATAAGCAGAAGCAAACTTTTGAGCAACATAATGATTGTACAAGTACAAGTTCTGATCTTCTGATCTTGAGCTTCTTCTCGCTTTAACCACTCTAGTGTGAAAGCACTTTTCATGTTCTTGCAAAGGCTGAAAGGCCAAAATCCTAACAGTGCCCTGGTGTTAGGATTTCTTGGTGAACGTTTCTGTAAGGATGATGGGAATGTGAATTTTCAGAAGCAGCAGTGAACTGTGGAGATCTTAAAGTCATTAATGAAATTGCTTACAGTACCATTTTTTAGAAATGAAACCATTATGAGTCAGTCTCACAGAGCAGAAAGTGATCTCATGGCTCCCCTTACAAGGGAGCTGAATTGCATTTCTAATGGAATCACTAACATTTTAGCTGTAAGCACAGAATCTGTTTGAATAGGTTTCTGCCTAACTTCTATGCGGTTAATTCATGTTTAGGAAAAAAACAGTTAAAATCCAGGACATTTTCTAGAATAAAGTTTTGTCACTCATAAGCATTTGATTCTTAAGATTCTGTGTATTTTGTTTCTTTTCCAGAGTATTGTACAGATGAGCTAATGACACAGAGTGGGTAAAATTTTGTAACTCTTTATGGAAGGGTCATTTATAATGGCTGGTAAGTCACAAAGATCTCCAAACATGTGACTTACATATAAGCAATGAATATAAATCAGTGCCAACTGTCTTCTGGTAAAAGTAATTAACACTAAACTAAATATTTGTATTTTTTAAAGAATGCCATAATTAAAGAAATTTATATAGGAAAACAGCTCAATTAATTTGGAGTAAAATGAGCCTTGGCACCTCATTACATTTGAACTTTTAAATGTACTTATAATAGCTGGGAGAACTATGTTATTTTCAGTATCCCATATTAGAAAAATAGTTATTCAAAAATTATTTGTGATTAAAAATTGTTAGCTTGACCTATGTCTTTGTCCAATAAAGGAACAATTCACAAACCAAGTTAGGACTTGAAAGTACTTTTTTGATCAAAAAGAGAGCCAAGATGACGAGGTAGAAAGACATAACTTGGTAAAAAATACTCTTCCTGGCCAGCGCTGCGGCTCACTGGGCTAATCCTCCGCCTTGCGGCGCCGGCACACCAGGTTCTAGTCCCGATCAGGGCGCCGGATTCTGTCCTGGTGGCCCCTCTTCCAGGTCAGCTCTCTGCTGTGGCCAGGGAGTGCAGTGGAGGATGGCCCAAGTCCTTGGGCCCTGCACCCCATGGGAGACCAGGAGAAGTACCTGGCTCCTGCCATCGGATCAGTGCGGTGCGCCAGCCGCAGTGCACCGGCCACGGCGGCCATTAGAGGGTAAACCAACGGCAAAGGAAGACCTTTCTCTGTCTGTCTCTCTCACTGTCCACTCTGCCTGTCAAAAAAAAATACTCTTGTTTAGTCAGCAAAGATGATTTTGCAGAATAATTAATCAAGGAGACTATCCATTACAGTGCAGCATCTTTGGAATTCTGCACTGTTATTTGTCTTTTTAAAACATTAAACTATTGCAACACATCACTTAATTTCTTTCGACTTTTCCTTTTTACCACGAAAGTCTTGTGTTAACCTCTTTTTCTGAGAAGCTGTGATCCCGGTCTTGGATTTTCCAGCTCCATGTTGCCTAGGACATTGCTACTTCTTCTTTCATGGAGAAAGCAGTAGCTGGGGCATGTGGAATGATTGTTACAGTGATGTAGGGGCTGGGTAGAATTGAAAAATGAATCTTAAGGACACTATTTTTTTTTGACAGGCAGAGTTAGACAGTGAGAAAGAGAGACAGAGAGAAAGGTCTTCCTTTTTCCATTGGTTCACCCCCCAAGTGGCCGCCACTGCTGGTGTGCTGTGCTGATCTGAAGCCAGGAGCCAGGTGCTTCCTCCTGGTCTCCCATGCGGGTGCAGGGCCCAAGCACTTGGGCCATCCTCCACTGCCTTCCCGGGCCACAGCAGAGAGCTGGCCTGGAAGAGGAGCAACTGGGGCAGGACCAGCGCCCCAACTGGGACTAGAACCCGGCTTGCCGGCGCCGCAGGCAGAGGATTAGCCTAGTGAGCCATGGTGCTGGTGCAAGGACACTTTAAAAATATTTCTCCCCTGGAAATGGAAAAACAGAACTCCTGGGAGGATATTTTATTCACGCATACATGAAATTAGGACTTGTTGGAAGAATCCATCAAGTCAACTGAACGTGATGTTAAAGCTTGAGTATTCTAGTCCCAGGAACATTGTTAGTGGACGGCCCCAGCTAGACCCTTAGAAGGGACTGGGAGCAGTATTTTTCTAACCAGTCCGTGGACTGGAGTCTTCAAACTCCTGTAGTACTGGTTAAAATGCATGTTTCCAGGTTCCTACAAGGGCCAGCCAAAATAAATCCGACTGAGCAGGCACCAAAGAACCTGAATTTTTAACAAATGTCCCTCTCCCCCGGACGCTCTTCTGCACTTGGCAGGGAGTCACTTGGAATTTTCCCCAGCTGTAGCCAGATGTTTTCATAGATCAGTGTCTAGAAGAATGAGCATCACGATTGTAGAACAGTCAGGTGCTGACATTGCCATGGAGTGAGTGGCTACTGCCCAAGGTCACCCAGAAACCAAAGATATGGCATACTCCTCTGGACAGACTTCCTTCCTGCTACTGATGTTCATTTTATTTGGAAGGCAGAGAGACAGAGATCGTCCATCACTGGCTTGCTCCCCAAATGGCCTACAGCAGTAGTAACCACATCACCTGTTGCCTCCCAGGGTGTGCATTAGCATGAAGCTGGGTGGGAAGGGGAGTAGCTGGAATGGAAACCAGACACTCCTGTGTAGGGTGCCTGGGCCCCAAGCCCCTGATACAGAACCAGAACCTCTGGGTGCTGCTTGGAGCCAGGTCACAAGTGCATTCATCAGGAAGGGCAAGCAGTAGGGGCCCAGCTTGCAGAAGAGGTGGCTTTGCACATCAGCAGACTTGTCTGTGCCAAGTAGGCACATCCACCTCCTGATTGCTAAAACCAAAATCACCCTCCTTGTCCCTAGGCAATAAATACTCATTTTTTTTTTTTGATAGGCAGAGTTAGACAGTGAGAGAAAGACAGAGGGAAAGATCTTCCTTCCGTTGGTTCACCCCCCAAATGGCCGCTACGGCTGTTGCACAGCGCTGATCCAAAGCCAAGAGCCAAGTGCTTCTTCCTGGTCTCCCATGCGGGTGCAGGGCCCAAGCACTTGGGCCATGCTCCACTGCCTTTCCGGGCCACAGCAGAGAACTGGACTGGAAGAGGAGCAACCGGGACAGAACCGGCACCCCAACTGGGACTAGAACCTGGGGTGCAAGCACCGCAGGTGGAGGATTAGCCTGGTGAGCCACAGCGCCGGCCTAAATACCCATTCTTGAATATTCATTAGACTCCTATGTGCTCTGCACTAGCCTCCATAGATACCAGGGATACCAAGATGAACAAGGGTCCTGTCTTCTGAGAGGCAGCCTGCCTTTCTGCAGTCTGTTGGCCATACTGGTCAGTTAGATACGTGACCAGTGTTCAAAATTGTGTCCTTACTTTTGTTCTGACTTCCCCCTTGTTCTGTTTACAAGATAAAATCTAAAACTGAGCTAAAAACAGTGGCTTCCCAGGACAGTTTCAGAAAGCACTGCAGACTAGTGGAGATGCTGCCCATCTGTGAAACCTTATCAGCTCCTTGCTCTGGCTCTGCGAAGTGTGCCTTCTGGACGAGAACAATCGACTTGCTGTTTTCCTGTCCTTGGTATGTCCCTTGGAAAGGATTTATTTTGCTTTGGCCCCTGTTCTCTCCTGGCTCCTCAAGGCAACTTTTTGTTTTCCCCACAAACCTTTCTGTGTATTTACAATTAAGTTGAAACTTGAACTTCATAATGTATTTTTCAAATCTCAGAGTTTAGGATTTTAGCGCTGGCGTTTTCTTGGCCCCTTTGAGTTGCATCGTCTCGGCTCCTGGTTATTTTGTCTGGATGAAGCTCCTGGGTGGAATTTCAGAAGCCTCTAGAAAGAGAGAGGCGGATGTGAAAAGTAAAGTGGGAGATTGCCCATAAGGGGGACAAAGATTGGTGTGTCCAATGGTTGTCAAAATGTGCTATCTAGATCCCTGGTGATGGATAAGATGCTTTTAATTGGAACGGGGCTTGAGTCTTACTACTGGCTTTTCACTTCGTTCATGTTTCCCTTCCTAGCAAGCATATTTAAACAAAATAAAGCTGAATAGTAAATAATCATACAGGTGGCAGGTGGCCCTGCCAGGAGTCACAGGAGTGGTACACAGATGGCTGAGGTTTGAAGAACACGGAGTGGAGAGCCAGGAGCAAGTGTCTTATAGGAGAGGTCCCAACCCCATGAGGCCAAGGCACACACACACCTTACCCAGAGTAGGCAGGAAGCGGTGGAGGAGGGCTTTACCTTGACAGAACACAGACCGTCTCTATATGCCATCCTGGAGAGCAGCAAGCCCTGTGTGTCCTGTCGAAGCAGTAACTGAGTGTCTACCCTGGGAAAGGAGAGGGGCCCCATTTGGGGGGGGGGGGCAGGAAGACAGAGGATCCCGGGCTGAGCTTGACAGAAAGAGACCCAGGAGTGTTTGGGAGCCTTAGAGCAGAAGCAGGTTTCTCCCCTGCTCGGGGGGAAATTCTCTCCTCTCGGTCAGGGAGCGTAAAGGCAGAGAAAGGGGCTCAAGTCCTCAGCTGAAACTGTGACTGTTTGACTGTTGTCCACTGATGGCATTACAGAGGACAGCTGCAATAGTAGAGACCTCAAAAATGGCAGGCTCCAAAGATGAGAAGAGTTTGATGGTGCGGTCACAAGGGGTGAGTTCTGAGGAATGGGCAGTTGGGAGATTTTGTGGCTGCACAAACTCACAGGCTGTGGTATGGTCGGTGTTGCTGCTGGGCCACAAATGCGTGGAGCCTGTGACTACTGCAGGCGGCAGCAACAGTGGGAAGTTCCCACATATTTATACCCAGAACGGACGTGGTGGGAGATGCTAGGCTGAGGGATTTTCCAGTGCCATTGCCATCCTATAGGACAGCCCTTATGTATGTGCTCCATGATTGCCTGGAACAGTGCCACGGAGAACATAGGCAGACCTGCGGCTGTGGTTGGCTTTTATTTTCAACTGTGAAAACAGTGAAACAAAAACTCACCGGAGAAAGGCCACTTCCCGAGTTATATTTGGAACGGAGTCTAGAAATGGAATTGTCCTTTTCTTTCCCTCCCTCCCCTCTATTTTTACAGGGTTGCTCAAAGATGGAAAGCCTTCTGGGCTGTGGCCCCCGCCCACCCTCCCCTTTAAGTGAAACCCTTGGAACCTGGCCCCAGATTCACCTTGATGTCAAGAGGACCCCCCCCCCCCCGCCCCGTCCTCCTGAGCCAAAAGCTGTTCCCAGCGGGAAGGCTCCTGCTCTCTTTGATGTCTGTCTGTTGAGCCCTAGAGGAGCCCCCTCCAGCCTGTTTTTCTAGGGGGACAGGTGAGAAAGGCAGAGCAGAGGACACCTAGCCACACACTCCAGTCTGTAACTGGGTAGGCTGTAAAGACAGCAGCCCGCCTCCAGTCACCAGCCATTGTCGTTGTACAGACCATAGCTTTTGGTTTTTCTTTTACTTTCCCTGAATGAATAGTTGTGTACTTACTGTTGACATGTGGCGTTTATGCTGAGAGCAGATGAGGAAATGATGTGGGTCATTCGCTTGAGTGTATCTGGTCCCTGTGGTCCTTATCCCTGTCATTGTGGAAGGATGCTCTCATTCGCTGTCACCTCCCGTCTTCTGCCTGCACCTGCTGCCAGAACCAGGTCACATAGAGCAGAGCTCTGAGGGCTGAAAGATACAGTGCTGAGAACCGGATCTCGGTGCTGATAGAAGGGTGTGTTGGGCTGTTTGTTTTGGGGAAATACTCTGTGTAAAACCTGGTCCCTGGTGGAATCATGGGAAGTATGTACAGCAGTGTAGATTGAGCTCCAGGCCTCAACTCTTAGTGGCTTAGACAACCTATTTAATTTTTTTTTTATTTTCAATTTTCTTTCTAGTAGGAGATGATACTAGCTGGGTTACGTTGAAGTTTAGGTGAGAGCGGGAGGCCTTTCCACACTGTTTTTGTCCTCTTGACCGTGGCCCTTGATGGCAGGTGTCTTTCAATTTCTCTTTGCCTTTAGGCTGCCCCTTTTAGGCAGCACATTTAGTTTCTTACTTAGCAAACAACTGCAATTTAAAACTGAACAATATTTTAAAATATTGGCATTTTTCAAACACATGTATGTCAGAGGCTGGCCCTGTGGTGTAGTAGGCTAACCCTCTGCTGCGGCGCCAGCATCCCATAAGGGCACTGGTTCCAGTCCCAGCTGCTGCTCTTCTGATCAAGTCCCAACTAATGGCCTGAGAAAGCAGTGGAGGATGGCCCAGGTGCTTGGGCCCCTGCGCCCATATGGGAGACCCAGAGGAAGCTCCTGGCTCCTGGCTTTGGATCAACCCAGCTCCGGCCATTGGGGCCATTTGGGGAGTAAACCAGCAGATAGAAGATCTCTCTGTCTCTTCCTCTCTCTTTCTATAACTCTGTCTCTTAAACAAATCTTTTTTAAAAAAGCCCACATATTTATGTCTTCTCTCATTAATCTTTAAAATCATTTAAAGCATTTTTGTGAATACTCCATGTCCAAAAACAGTAGTCAGAAAACTATGTTGGGGCTGATGGTAGGGTTAGCTTTAACCTCTTGTAGGTGAATTATCCTTGTGACTGACAGTTCTCTTTCTTGGTGTAGAATTTTGGGATATGTCTTGGGTGACTTTTGTGGCTTTGGGGCATGTGACTTTAAGACACAGCTTGTCTTGAAGTAGTTATATATGCTCTGTGTTCATATCAGCTTTTTCATGTGTAAAATGTGGAAATGTTAATGTTTGACACTGGCTCAGAGCTCATGTCTACTGGGGTGGAGCAGAAGAAAATGTGACATTTGCCATTGTTGAGATGGGAGACCCCACAATTCTGTGGGTACAGAGACCTAACCAAATCTGGGACTTGGGGCCATCCTCTGGCAGCATAGGGTCTTCCTTGTATTTTGGGATTTTTATATGTAGTCTGGGCATCCAAGAGTTGTCATCAAACAATGGCTTCCAGTGGCCCCTGGTCTCATCATGGTTGTCCTTGTACAAGTCATGTCTCATTTTTCTGAAGTTGTTTATGATGGGTAAGACCCATGGGAGGATGGTGGAAAACTGTGACATCTCTTAGTTGTCCTGTCCATTCTTTGAGTAACATTTCTCTGAGCTCTGATTATGTAGCAGGCTAATTGTTCCTGGTACTCAAATGAGTGAATGCCAGTCCCCACCCTTACTACATTAAGGGTGTCGGGAGAGACAACAAGCACTTAGGCAATGCATTGCCATGGGGACTGACAGTGTGTTCTGAGAGCACAAAGTGGGCAGAACCAACTTCTGGAGGGATAGAGGGCCTGCAACACTGGTGGTACACCTTGAAAGCTAAGGGGTTGTGGCGTGGCTTCTAGCTCCAGCTCTGCCTTTGCTCTGAACCTCGACTTTTTCCCTGACTTGGAGCCAGTTTCCTCATCTCTGAGACAGCACTCACCTTTGCTGTATGTCGAGAGAGGATCAATAACTGTGGGACTGCTTATGGGGATCCTCTCCTGTCTGAAGGTGCCTTCCTCCCCTCAGCAGTGTTGCCTGCAGGATGCTGGATCACTGGGCTTTAAGGTTCAGTGTGCAGCTGTAAATTCAGATGTGCCCCCTGGTAGTCCAGTGCAACTAAGCCCTTCTGGTTATGACTTAGGCTGTCTTCTCTGACAGCAGTCTGTGGAGTCCAGTCTTGCTGACTGAGTTCACAGAGATTACTTAGCCAAGCTGAGGGCCAGGTTTCTCATCTGTGAAATGAAGACACTAGTAATAGTGCATGCTTCAGAGGCTTAAAAGAGATCATCTGAATAGAAAACATGGCACACAGAGACTGCCCTATTAATGGTCATTTTTGGGACTGGATGAGAAAACCGCAGAGATTGCCAGGAATCAAGATAAGCAGGCTAGAGGAACTTGACCTCTTCACGGAGATGGGCAAGGTGAGCAATGGAGGGATGGCCATTCCAGGAACAGGGAGCAGTGTGTGTGAAGATCGCAAGGAGGCAGGTCAGAAAGAAGGCCAGCGTGGCTGGAGTCCAGAGCGGGGAAGCGAGCGTGTGGTGGGGAGAGGCTGCTGAAGATAGAGGGCCGACTCCCTGTGGTGGCCCCACTAAGGAGTCGGTATTTTCTTCCTGAGCAGAGTGGGAAACCAATGGCCTCAGTGAGGGTGCTGAGCTGAAATTGGGGAAGCAGAGAAACAGGCGTGTGTTTAGAGAAAAAATTCAATCTGAAGGAAGCGTTTTTCTCAGAAGGAAGAATTTCATCCAAGTTTCTAAGTTTTATCTTAGAAGGGCCCTTGTAACAGGTCTTAATGTTTGCAGGGCCCTGGCAGAATCACATCTGGAGACTCCCATTTTGTAAGTTTAAATAATTCCAGGTTATCTACCTGTGTGTTCCATCCCCCTACTCTGGCAAACATGTCTCTGGAACTAAAATATCAAAAAGTGTGGTTTGTACATGACTTATAGTCCAGAGGGTCCAAGAAAATTTAATTTCACTCTAATTGCACAGTCTAGGTGTTCTGTTCAGACAATAAGATGTGGATGGATATTAAAAATATTTACAATTAAGAAATCATTTCCTACTCCATAATTTTTTCTTCATTATCACAAAATCACTAATATTCACAAAATATGCATTCTTTTTTTTTTTTTTTTTTTTTTGACAGGCAGAGTGGACAGTGAGAGAGAGAGACAGAGAGAAAGGTCTTCCTTTTTGCCGTTGGTTTACCCTCCAATGGCCTCCATAGCCGGCGTGCTACGGCCAGCGCATTGCGCTGATCTGAGGCCAGGAGCCAGGTGCTTCTCCTGGTCTCCCATGCGGGTGCAGGGCCTAAGGACTTGGGCCATCCTCCACTGCATTCCCGGGCCATAGCAGAGAGCTGGCCTGGAAGAAGGGCAACCGGGACAGAATCCGGCGCCCTGACCGGGACTAGAACCCGGGGTGCCGGCGCTGCAAGGCAGAGGATTAGCCTAGTGAGCCACGGCGCTGGCCAAAATATGCATTCTTTTGACAGAAATACTGAGACAACTTTTATTTTTCTTAACAGCTTTATTGAGGTATAATTCACATCCTAAACAGTTCATGCAAAGTATATGACTTCTCTTGAGTCATTGTAGTTCTGATACAGTTTCTCATTTACTTTATTTTAAAATATTATGCTTATTGTTGAATAAAGATCTGTTCCCTTTTTTTAAAAAAAGATTTATTTATTTGAAAGTCAGAGTTACACAGAGGAGGAGAGGCAGAGAGAGAGGTCTTCCATCTGTTGGCTCACTCTCTAATTGGCCACAGTGGCCGGAGCTGTGCCAATCCGAAGTCAGGAGCCAGAAGCTTCTTCTGAGTCTTCCATGTGGGTGCAGGGGCCCAAGGACTTGGGCCATCTTCTGCTTTCCCAGGCCATAGCAGAGATCTGGATCAGAAGTGGGCCAGCCAGGACTTGAACCAGCTGGGATGCTGGCACTGCAAGGGATGGTTTTACCTGCTACGCCACAACAATGGCCCTGTCACTTATTTTATTTTTTCTCCTACAGTTTATTTTAATTTGAAGAAACTTTGCCCTGCCAAGATTACATCAACCTAGCCTGTTAATAAAACTTAGAATTGAAAATGAACCATGAATGAAACATTTTGTTCAAAATATTGAACATAAATACCTTTATCACAGAAAAGATTTTAATTCCATTGTGTAAATCTCTACCATGTACACTACAACATTTACTGTCTTTTCAAGCAATATCTCAATCTCATTCTATTGTCAGTCTTGACATCCTGTTTCACATATGTTATAGCTGGACACTTACATGCAGTTGAGAGCAGTGGGAATGGTTTAATGTAAACTGTTCCTGTGCACATGTGAGTTTGAGGACCTCCTGAACGACTAAGGGGAAGATGAGGAGTAACAATCACATTGGTGATTGAGGTGACAGTGAAACAGGGCTTCCCTGTGCAAAGTACACTCACACATCCAGAAGAGAGAAATAGACAAGTTCATTAACCGTTTATTTTCTCAATGTTTCTGCAGCTCAAATCCTCCCTGCACCGCGAAGTTGCCTCTGTCACTGCACTGCCCATTCTCAAATGCTCAAGGCTTTCCCACACAGCTGCCCGCTGTTTTAAGGACTCGGAGCAGGAGATGGGGAGAAGCATCTCCCTGGACTGAGGGCGGCACAGCCCTGTAGCCTAAAACTGCAGGGGCATCCAGCAGGCCCTCGCTAAGCCCATCCCGTCCACCTCTTCATTGTGAGATGGCCCAGTACTGCCAGAAGGCCCTCCCTTGCTCAGTGTGTTCCCTCTGAACTTGGCTGACTGCTTTGTTCACTTGCTCTGTCTTGTAGGAACTGGTGAAAGTGGGAAGAGCACCTTTATCAAGCAAATGAGAATCATCCATGGGTCTGGTTACAGCGACGAAGACAGGAAGGGCTTCACCAAGCTGGTTTACCAGAACATCTTCACCGCCATGCAGGCCATGATCAGAGCCATGGACACCTTAAGGATCCCTTACGTGTGTGAGCAGAATAAGGTAAAGTGCCCCAAGAGGTGCTGCCCCCCACCCCCGGACCACACCTTCCTCCTCTGGTTAGCTCATGTATTGGAACAAAAGGACTTAATGGGTGCTTTGGTCAGATGCCAGGTCAGAGTTGTGTGTTTCCTCCAGTTGATTCCCTTTAAGTGATAGTCTTCTGTCTTTCAGTCTTGCTTCTCCATGACTGTCCTCTCTATCCAACCCTTCTTCCACCGGGTGAGGTCCCTCCTGGTTCACGATTGATCTCTGGAGACAACATGGCAAATGTTGGGTGTTTAATCCCCTTCTTTGTAAGGCCATTGTGTGTATCTGTAGTGTCCAGTCCTGGACTCAGTGTCCTGCTCCACTCCCCAACCAGTGGAGTCTTCCTATGCACCATGCTGCCCCAGCTCGGGGAGGGGCAGTAGAGGCAGTCCCTTGGCCTCTGGTGGCTCAGTCCACAGCTACTGGTCTGGGAGTGGGGACTGTGCAGCTCTGCCTGGGGCTGCGTTTCACTGTGGCAGGCCTGGTACTGGGCCTGGTACCGTGACCTGGACTTAATTCTCTCCCTCCGCTGAGCAGGCAGTGTCTCCACGCTACGCTGCTGGGAGTTGGGGACACGGGTGACATGGTGACTCTTCCCTTCCTGCCTTCTCCGTCTTCTCTTATTATACCCAAACCAGGCACTGTGGTCCCTCCTCTGGCTTCCCCAGCTCTTGTAAACATAGATGGGTGAGTGAATGGCTGTTCATGTTGGGGTCTTGGAGGGGAGGTGCTGCTGGAGCAGCTGGCTTGGCCTCTGGGATAGAGACTCTTTTTGTTTTATTTTATATTTATATTTTATTTAATGAACATAAATTTCCAAAGTACAGCTTATGGATTACAATAGCCCCCCCATAACTTCCCTCCCACCCACAACACTCCCCTTTCCCACTCCCTCTCCCCTTCCATTCACATCAAGATTAATTTTCAATTATCTTTATATACAGAAGATCAATTTAGCATACATTAAGTAAAGATTTCAACAGTTTGCACCCACACAGAAACAAAGTGTAAAATATTAGAGTACTAGTTATAGCATTAATTAAAAACCTAAGAGTAATTGTGTATTAATTACAGAGTTCAACCAATAGTTTTAAGTAGAACATAAAAAATACTAAAAGGGTAAAGTATTAAGTTCTTTTTTTTTCTTTTTCTTTTTTTTTGTTTGTTATATAGTTATTTTTTTATTTAATAAATGTGAATTTACAAAGTGCAACTTTTGTATTGTTGTGGCTCCCCCCCACAACCTCCCTCCCTCCCGTGGCCCTCCCCTCTCCCACTCCCTCTCCCATCCCACCCTTCATTGAGTTTCATTTTCAATTACCTTCATATACTGAAGATCAACTTAGTATATACTAAGCAAGGATTTCAACAGGCTGCACTCACACAACCGTACAAGGTATAGGGTATTGTTCGAATAGTAGTGTTGTTTTTGAGTTTCATAGTAGAACACATTAAGGACAGAGATCCTACGTGGGGAGCATGTACCCAGTGACTCCCGTTGTTGATTTAACAATTGGCACTCTTATTTATGATGTCAGCAATCACCCGAGACTCTTGCTATGAGCTGTCTAGGCTACGGAAGCCCCTTGATGGGATAGAGACTCTTAAGAGCAGTGTGATGAATTTGGCTGGCCCTGGGGTCTCATTTGTGCAGAAGGCTGGCACGGTGTGTGTGATGCTCTGCAGTGCGCAGGTGTGAGATGTTTGGGTAGCAGTCAAGTTTGCTTATTTCAGGCACTGACAAAAGGGAGACATATCCATTCTTTCTTTCAGCTAGGAGACCTAGTTAATGATGGAGATGTGGGATTTACAGTGGCCAGCTTTTTAAGAATTCCCAGTCCTGGAGAATATTTTCACTAATGTGCTGCAGACTAATCAGAAATCAGTAGGTTTTGCTTCTTGGTGTTAGGATCTGGATCTTCTTGGGAACTAAGAGATGGTTTTCAAGAACATGCTCGTGTCTCAGCCTGCAAGGTGTTCTCGTGATGGGACGGTAGCAAGCTGGCATTTGCTTTCCTTTCATCACTGGTTATTAAAAATGCAGATTTTGGGTACAGCATTGTGGTACAGGTTAAACCACCACTTACAATGCCAGTGCATATTGGAGTGCTGGTTCTAGTCCCAGCTACTCTGATTCTGATCCAGCTTCCTGCTAGTGCACCTGGGAAGGCGGCAGATGATGGTCTGACCCTTGCCACCCATGTGGGAGACCAGGATGCAGCTCCAGTTTCCTGGCTTTGGCCTGGCCCAGCTCTGGCAGTGGAGGTCATTTGGGGAGTGAACCAGTAGATAGATTGATCTCTCTCTCTGCACCTTGCAAATAAATAAATAAATAGCTATTATTTTAAAAATGACATTTAAGACCAGAGGAAAATCATAAGGTAGGAGGGTGAGACGAAGATGCAAGCAAAGCTTTATGTGGTATATTGGAATGAAGTCTGAACGGAAATGATCCTGTGCCTGAGCTCATTAAAAATCTAGATTAGACATGAGTTTATTTAAAATAGTTTCTACAAAGTTACAAATGGCATAATGTTACATAGAAAAATTCTGTGTCAGATGGGTCTCCAGGGATTTTCTTTTAATTTTTAAAAATTTATTTTACTTATTTGAAAGAGAGACACAGAGACATCAGCTGATTCACTCCCCAGATGGCTGCAATGGCTGGAACCAGGCAGATGTGAAGCCAGGAGCCAGCAGCTTCTTCCAGGTCTCCCACGTGGGTGTGGGGGCCCAAGCTCTTGGGCCATCCTCCACTGCATTCCCAGGCCCATTGTCAGGGAGCTGGATCAGAAGTGTAGCAGCCAAGACTCCAACCAGTGCCCATATGGGATGCTGGCGCTGCAGGCTGGGGCTTTAACCCGCTGTGCTACATACAGAGACACAGTATACACACATAGACAAAGAGCGAGAAAGAGACAAAACTCCTATTCTCTGGTTTACTCCCCCAGATACCTGCAATGGCCAGGGTTGGTAAAGCCAGAAGCTGGGAACATTGTCCAGGTCTCTCCTGTGAATGGCAGAAATCCAATTACTTGAGTCATCACTACTGCTTCCCAGGGTTTGCCTTAGCAGGAAGCTCGAGGCAAGAGCCAGAGGCTCTGATGTGAGACATCAGCGTCTTAACCAATATGCTAAATGCCCACTTCTTCCTGTATATCTTTGAGAAAATACTCCCCAAGTTATGATGGAGGTTATAGCCTGATAAACTTATCATAAATTGAAAATGCGGTTAAGTTGAAAATGCATTGAATGTTCCTAAACTGAACATCTTGGCTTAGCAACCCAGCACACTGTATGGAATGAGCTGTTGCCCTGCCAACCATGAGCTGTGCTCGCTGCTGCTGCCCAACGTCACAGGAGAGGATGGAACCATTATTGTTAGCTGGGAAAAGATTAAATTAAAATATGTACTATAGTTTATATTGCATGCATCTTATTTTTGCACCATCATAACGTTGAAAAATCAGAAGTCAGACCATCATTAACTTGGAGATGTCCGTATATGATAGACAAGGTTTCAGAGCAATCAAGCAATTTATTATTTCCTTCTCTGTGATAGAATTACAAAGGAAAATACATTGTGCCCCAAATTTTGGCTTTTATCTCTACAGCCTCATTTCTTTACCATCATTCCATTGCAATTTTTTTTTAAAGATATCATTTATTTATTTGAGAGGTAGAGTTACAGAAGGAGAGAGAAAGGTCTCCCATCCACTGGTTCACTCCCCAGATGGCTGCAACGGCCAAGCCTGGGCCAGATGGAAGTCAGGAGCCAGGAGCTTCTTCCAGGTCTCCCACGTGGGTGCAGGGGCCCAAGCACCTGAGCCATCTTCTGCTTTCCAGGCTACCAGCAGGGAGCTGAATCAGAAGTGGAGCAACCAGATCTTGAACTGGCACCCATATGGGATGGCAGTGTCGCAAGTGGTGGCTTTACCTGCTGTGCCGCAGTGCCAGTCCCTCTCTTGCTGTTAATTCTTTCCAGGATGTCTTCTCTCCTTGTCCACAGATCTGCATTAGACCCCTAGGACCTTATAACAAAAGAACCTCAAAGGAAGTGGCTTGCATTAGAAATTTCCTTTTAGACTGTCATGGATATTGCAAGTCCGAGATCAGTGTTGATTGGTTCCAACTGCAGGCTCTGGGAGCAAATTTATTCCCTGATTCTCTCCTTGCTTCTTGTGGTTTCTGGAAACTCCTGGTGTTTCTGCCTCACTCCATTTTCTGCCACTGTCTTTATAACGAGTGTTCTCCTTTCTGTGTCTCTGTGCTCATATGCGTTGCCCTCTCTGTGTACATCCAAAGCATGGCTCTCCTGGGGCTTTAGGGCGTACTTTTGCTGTAAAGGCCCTGAGAGCAAATTTGTTTTTGGCTTTGTGGCTAGCCGATCCCTGTCCAAACTACTCAGCTCTGCTGCTGTTAGCATGGAACGGAACCCTAGATGATATACAAACTGCAGTGTGTGGCTCACTTGTAAACTCTGCGAAATGTGAAAACTGTGCTTAATTCACAAGCCATACAAAAATCTACCCAGGCCATGAATGGCCCTCGTGTGCCAACCCTGGTCCTAGGGGAAGCTGGAACCTCTCTGTTTTTCCATTTCCTCATCTGTTGAATGCAGACAACACATGCTCTGTCTGCTTCCTAAGCCAACACGAGCGAAGGGAAGTGCTTCAGAAATTGAATGGCACTCGAGAAATACAAGGTTATTACTGGGGCAAGCTCAAACACCAAAATGGACTCGTTGTTTCTTCTATGATGTGCTTATGACATTTTCAGCCGCTCTCTCTGTGCCTGGGGGCTGTTACTATTTCTAATAATTGTCTCTGCGGGTCAGTCCTTATTCCAGAAATGAAGCTTTAACAGAATCACCTGCATAGGTCATAAATGATTAATGTTTAGTGTATTCAGTAATTGATTTAAGAAACACACTATATATTGTCTTCTTTACAAAGTAGTTGAATAACCTTGAACAGTTGATTAGTTAAGAGAGGGATGCATCAAACCGTAATTACCTTTTATTTTCATATCGGTGCCATCCTTCCCTCACTTGCTATTCCTGGGTATTTATTTCCATTCTCTGTTTTGGAGTATTTTTCCCTAGAACTAGGAACATTTCTTCAGAGTATGTAGAAGGGAATTCAAAGTTAATTTAGAGGTTTTATTTCACTTTGAATGAAAAATTTTAAATTACTTTAATGTTAATTTATGTGTGTGAGAGAGGAATCTTCCAAGTGCTGATTGACTCTTCAAATGCCTACAACAGCTGGGGCTGGACCAGGCTGAAGCCAGGATCCCAGAACTCTCAGTCTGGGTCTCCCATGTGGGTGGCAAGGGACCAAGGACTTGAGCCATCATCTGCTGCCTCCCAGGACGTGCATTAGCGAAAGCTGGGTCAGAAGCAGAGGAGCTGGGACTGGAACCAGGCACTAGGACATGGAGTGTGGGCATTCCAAGTGGTGTTTCAACCACTGTACCGAATGCCTGCCCCCAAGGGTTTCAATTTAAATGCTAGTGAGATCTTTGCTCAGATAGATTCTTGAAAAATCTCAGCCTATTACTTGAAAGGCTGCTTATTAAAGGAAATTTATCAGAAATTTAATCAAGCATTTGATTTTTAACCAACATGTTTTTTCAATTAAGATGTAGCCTTGAAGATTATTTTCTTATGTTGTACCCGCTTTTTTTTTTTTTTTTTTTTGGAATAAAAATGATTCATGTGTATTTGCTCACTCTGTAGATAAGCCTTGATTTTTATGAATGTATCTCAAGAGTGTTTTATGAGCACATATTAGAATGTATGACTTCTTGAATAAATATTCCAAAGGCATTTGCCCAACAGCAGGGCTTCCAAGCTTATAACTCATGTTTACTCCTGCTCATTTCACTGAAGTCACAAGAGCTCCATATTGTTTGCTGTTTGTAGCATCTTGTACTTGGGAAGTTCTCATTCTGAGCCTGTTTTGCAGTGACAGAGACCTTGTGATCCACTAAGGTTGTGCTGAGGTTGCCTGGGCGGCTGAGATCCAGAACTCCCCAAGGGTAAATGACGGGTGCTTGAGTTCTCAGAAGCCTTGCAGTTTTGTATTCGGTGATCACTAGACAGAAGGAGCTCTGCAGGCTTTGCTGCAAGCAGACCTCCTCCTCTTTTCTGCCCTCCTGTTTGGCTCCACTGGGCTCACAGCCTAAGAGGGGACTTCAAAAATTCATGGAAAATGGAATTTCAACATATGTTCATTTTGGTGCAAAAAACTTTTGAAATCTGTGCATACAGGAAGTCTTGAAAAAGTTCATGGCAAATGCAGATCATGAAAAAACTAAATGTGGGTTGCAAAAGTTTTTCCACCCAAAATAAACTTAGCTTTTGATAGTTGCTTCCATGAGCCTTTTGAAGTGCCCTTGTATATGTATGCAATTCAAATTTAATTGTAAAGGCTCATCACAGCAAGAATAAATCAATAAGTAAAACTTGAAATTTTTAAAAGGAGAGGTAATAATGGCACAGTAGGGAGATTTTGTTGCCTGCTCTTCGACTCTAAGTCCCCAGTTTCAGAACACAATGTTTCTAGAAGTGTGAGTTCTGAATTTCCCCCTCAGTAAACCTCATACTCTTTTCCTAGCTTTTGCTGGTGGTTTTGGGACATCCAGCCACACACCACTCTCAAGGGCTGAATTATTTGAGTTGATGTGACTCACAAGGCCTCTGTTAGTTCTGTTTGACATTTTGCTGGTCTGACATTTGGGT